TTGTTAAATGTCATAATCATACCATACACACATTTCGTGTTTAATTAGAAGAAACAAAGAATCTGTATGAATTGCAAAATTTTAGCTTTATAGGTCCTGTTTGATCTGGGCGTTAATAAATCTGAATGTCAAAACACGTAAATTAAGTGTATACGATAAGACTGTTTATTACGTTGTACAAATTTATTTAAATATTTACATTAAGCAGTGGGTGGCATGGCGAGGCTGTCGCTGCCACAACGCCTTTGTGTGAAACCTCCGTTATTGTGTCAAATCGATTTCTAGTGTTTATAATACGAGCTTCGCAGTACTGTGGCATCTTCGCATTGAGCAACCGAATGTTCAAGGCGAGCTACATATTAAAAATTTAAACAATATTTACGCATGTTTCGACACCGACACCTTGGCGCGAACTGACCACATCAGAGTGTGTAGTAAATCCGAATGTGATCGTCGTTCCGAGGCCGTTTCGCATTAAAGGAACAAAGGGTTGACTCACGTCCGGACTATAGTCGTCGGAGAAAGGAGACGGGTTAAAAATAGAACATGGCGTTTAAGAGTCCAGTGGTCGCTTGCGACTGCCATTAACGCTTTCGTATTGTTTATTAGTTAAGTTTGAAAATCAAAAAAGTTTCAAAATCCGAAAGTAACTTTTTGTTTTTCTTCGATTTACTTTATAAGTTATTAATTTATTAGGTAAATGAAGTGAAATCAATTTAATTAATACGATAAGGATTATAATAGTACCGCTGGGAAGGAAATTGATAGCGACATAAATCACATTATGTATTGCAATGCAATTCATCAGTAAGATCGACTCACTCAGTTTCACTTTTTAGTGAGTCGCGATTCCGATCCGGCGGTGGATTCAGCAAAGCACTTCTCTTGCTAAGGCTAGTGTTAGCATTTAAAGTTGAGCCCGTGAGCTCATCTACCAGTCCGAGCGTGTTTGGAAATAGCCCCTTAGGCTACCAGTGATTAGGTAGAGAGAAAAATAGATCGATAAATATAATAATATTAATAATAACTTCGCACAAACAACCGTACCAGCCAAGAACTATACTCTGACGGGCATTGTTTGCGCTGCACTTAAAGGTTTCCGCAACGTCTGGTTAGGAAACCACCACGACAGCTGAGGACGACGCCAAAACAGGCTCTTTGAGAAACCTTTCCAGTTTAGATTACGAAAACAGTGGAAAGCTTGTACTACAAATTTGCATGAATCTATGCACAGATAATTCTATTAGAATTGAATCTTATTAATACAATGAATGAGTCGACTATTATCAAAGCCGGCAATCTGACTTTTGGACAATGCTTGGTAAATCAGAAAAACGAATTATTGACTTTGTATTCCATTGGCAGTCACAAAACTCTTCGGAACGACATCTTAGATAAATAACAGGTTAACTATTAACCTTTATTTAATGCAGGTTTTGAACCGTATTCTTTGAAGGAGACGATTATATTCAAATCAATCTGTATTGACATATCAATAAAAAAAAATTGTCCAAATGCACAGATTNTGTATTCCATTGGCAGTCACAAAACTCTTCGGAACGACATCTTAGATAAATAACAGGTTAACTATTAACCTTTATTTAATGCAGGTTTTGAACCGTATTCTTTGAAGGAGACGATTATATTCAAATCAATCTGTATTGACATATCAATAAAAAAAAATTGTCCAAATGCACAGATTGCCACCTTTGATAATAGACGACTCAAATAAAGAACTCCGCCAATTAAAGAAAACTAAAGTGCTTTACGTTCTGTATTATTGTAAAATATTCCAACTTGATTCTCTAATTTTAAAATTTATTTCAGTACAGAGACGTATATATAATTTTAAAGACTATAAATGTTGATATTATGATGTCAGAACGTCTTAGCTTTATAACAGGCTGGTATAACAATCAGTCTTTTATCAGAACACGTGGTGTGCTAATCGAATCGCATGACACTTTCCAGTTCTAGAGTAAACTTTACAATCATTTTTAAGTCTAACTGAATTTATTCAATCACTATATTTCCAGGAGAATAAGGCTTTGGAAAAACCCAGAAAACTTGTCTTAAAAAAAAAAGGTTAAATATATTTACTTGCGGACACGTTGCACGTTTTTCAATAAGACAAGACGTGTCCCTATTTTAAACTTACAACCGAAACTTCCAGAGCACAAAGACTACAGTGAACAAAGAATCCCTTTATTCGGGTCTAACAGGGGTGGAAAAAATAATGGCAAGCGGTTGTATTTGTAAATTCCCTACAGGTAGACAGGCGGTTGTAGGTGTATGTATTCATCGAGTCGGTGTAAAGTAGTTTTTGTCAACGGAGCAATATTTTTCAATATGCACCTTTCGAAATTCCCACTGCGATTTGCATCGTTATACGGGGCAATAACAACAAAACGATGCGTTTCCAATATCAAATTTCAAATTTAGGTAACTAACTAGATGTTACATGAATTCATAACTAAAATAATTTATTATATCCCTATACTGAAAGTTTTGCGGTACTAAGTATTTATTTTATAATCAGGTTCGTAAAACTTAATTTTTTCTAGTTTTATTCAGCACACTACTAGTTTGTAGCGCGAAATTACACTAGCACAACATTTTTGTAAAAATTATGACAAAATACTGATCAGGAAATTATACTTTATATACTAACAATACCCTTATTAAAAGTTTTACATAAATATCTATGTATAGTTTTACATAAAGACAACCCCATAAAAAATAACAACCCCGAACAAGTGAATTTTACGCAAAGTAAAAGATCACAAAAAAAAGCAGGTAGTCTTTGAGTAGGGCGAACCATTTATAACTATATGTTAGAACCAATAAAACCGGTTTTAGTTTATCTCTTTAAAACGATACCAAATTTTTATTAGACGACTTTCAACTTTAAGTCTTTGAATTACAGACGTTTATTTTTTTCTTTTAAATACTTCGCCTCTCTTTTACACCCCTGCAGAGATTTGAAAAGGACCAGACATTTTAAATACCCAAATATTATTTATCTACTTCAAGCGGTTTGTATTCATTTATTATTTCAATCCTAGGTTGTGGTGGATGTATTTCGATTTTATTCTTTGTTATTTAATAATTCTAAGAGACTGATTTTACTAACTTTAAAACTTCAAAATAAAAAAATAAATTTATTTATCAATATTTTCAAAATTATTTATCGGACTGTTCACATTTACAATATAAAGATTATGTGAACTAGGTATGTACGCGTTCTTATTTCTTATTCGCGTTTGCAATTAAAAACATTAAGTAAAGGCATTTCATTTATTTACGGTTTAAAATTAAAACATCCAAGATCGATATTTTGATTATTTTGATGTTTTATTTTTTATTTTTATTGCTTTGATGGGTGTGCGAGCTCACAGCCCACCTGGTGTTAAGTGGTTACTGGAGCCCATAGACATCTACGACGTAAATGCGCCACCCGCCTTGAGATATAAGTTCTAAGATCTCAGTAGAGTTACGACGGCTGCCCCACCCTGCAAACTGAAACGCATTACTGCTTCACGGTTGAAATAGGCAGGGTGGTGGTACCTACCCGTGCGGACTCACAAGAGGTCATACCGCCAGTAAAAATAAATAATAATTTTCCGAAGTATATACCTTCTTATATTAAGTATTGTATCTGTCATAGGTATATTAAGTAAGTAAATGTGTTGTTCTGTGCACATTTTTTTATAACTTTGTTATTCACATAAATTGCTGCAGTCGATTGTTTGTTCATTTAGAATGACCTATGCCTAATTGAATAGTAATTTCCAAAAGTCATCATTTGACTAATACAAATTTTTACATTCTAAGACTGGAGTCTCGTCTTGCAACTTATGTGGCATGACGCAAGTTCAAACATGTCAGGGCAACTGGTTTTACTTTGGTGTTTCTTATTTTTCGAATGGAATCATAAAAATAACGTTGCATTAGCGTAATTTTTTTAAAGATTCAAGAGAAATAAATCTGATGGAAATATGTCCGGTTCAACCAATACTACACAATTCAACTTTATTTTATTAATTATTATATATTTTCTTGAAGGTAGTGCGATATTTTTGCACTAGACGTTCCATTTTAAAACTGAAAACAGTACCCTCTTTTAAGCTTTTTACGCTAAAGGTACGAAATATTTGTATTTAACGATTCTTTTCATTGTGATGACCAATTCAAAAAATAAGGCACCATTGGCTAGATACCATTGCCATTTGATACCATTGAGATAGAAATGCAAGAATTACATACGACTTTTTAAATTAATAATCGTGCTACCGAATTTCTATGTGTTTAGAAGGAAAACCTTAAATATTACTTATAAATTATTCTTAGCAATTTTGAATGAATGCCTTTAAACCAAAAAATGTATTTCAAACAATTTAGGCATATTTGTGTGTGTGTGTGTGTACACTGCGTATCTTCTTAATACCTAACTTTCTTCTGAATCAGATAATACGGCAGACGCATTTTAATAATTTCTATATTAAAATACTTGGTAATAATCGCCCTACTCTTAATGATGGCTATTGAGTGTTTTAGAATACTGTTAATTTCATTACAATTTGAAGAAATGAAAATTGCTGTTTCGTTAGAGTTGCACCTTCAAAGATAAACTGAGATTATTGCTATCTAATGGGTACGGGTGTAGAGAATTGTGGATGTAGGTACCTACATCATATTATTATCTAAGATGGTCGATTGAAATTTTAAGACACAATATAAACCTAGGTGAGCGGAGAAATATACGAATCACCGCGAATATTAATGAGCAATAAGGCAAATAAACATTGTAGGAATCAACCCCACCACAAACATTACAACTACATTACAACAATTACTACCTACTCGCGATTGCTGATTGAAAATCAGTGCTGCTCAGTTATAAAATAATAAAACATCATCACATTCACAATGAGAATATTTATTGTCATCCAGAATGTGTAAGCTAGACGGTATTTAAGTAATAAATGATTCAAACTTACCTTCAAGAACAGATCACCAAAGTCATGCAGGGCAGACTGATGCATTATGGCTGTAGACATCATGTATGCAAAACGAACTCGACACTTAATCCAGATTTTATTCTTATTTCTTGATGTTTCTTTGGAAACTGATCCACTGTAGCACGAATATATAAGGTCGACGAACTCACTGTGAATNCGGTATTTAAGTAATAAATGATTCAAACTTACCTTCAAGAACAGATCACCAAAGTCATGCAGGGCAGACTGATGCATTATGGCTGTAGACATCATGTATGCAAAACGAACTCGACACTTAATCCAGATTTTATTCTTATTTCTTGATGTTTCTTTGGAAACTGATCCACTGTAGCACGAATATATAAGGTCGACGAACTCACTGTGAATTTTAGGTTAGCTGATGAAAAGTTCACGAAGACTTTTGAAGATGTTTCCAAAATCCTTGCGATTTTATAGTTCAATTACTGAGGTCGTTGCTTTTTTGTTTATCGTTCGGTGATCAGTTTGTTTCCGAACTAGTTGGCCAAGAGGCGATTTTGTTGCCCCTCCAGATTTAAGCCAAAACAGTAATTTTGAACACAATTTCGCTATCGCAGCGAAAATGTACAAAACAGTCCTTTGTTTCGAAAAGTTTTTTACAACCTTTTTTTCGCGTCTATACGGAAACACAAATTTTGGTCAAATTCTGCGCGAACTGCGTCAAAGTTAACTTCTACAATACAAACTTTTTTGTAGTTATCGACTTTATACTCCAAAAAGTTTTTATTCTAGTTGTATAAATCGTAAAATTTCAATAATAAATCGCAGCGTCAACGTCCGCGCAAAACGCACCACACGTACATTCCGTATCACGCTTGCTCGCGCACTGATCTTGTTGTAGTGTGGCACCTCGCCTTCGCCCGCTTCATCGTCGTGCTGCGGTTGGCGCGGCAGCGGGCGGGTGAATTTTGTTTTCAAATCAAACAGCGCGATCACGTTTTGGAACGAGATTCGTTTGCCGCTCGGGTGCGTTCGGCCATTTTCGGACCCTGTTAAATTCCATCTCTAAACACTAACAAATTTTGATTACACAAATCGTAATATATATAGTTAAAAAATACTATCATAAACTAATAACATGTTTTAAACTTCAATTACAAACTAAAATTTCAATTGCCAGTAATGAAAAAGAGTCGATTGTGATTAAAACTTATGTCTGCTCATTGTTAAGATATGATATGAATATTTAAATTATAGGAGAAAATAATAAATTATTGATAAAAGGAATAATTGTATGGGAAATTAATAAAATTGGCCACGTGATCCTATCCCTTCGGCAAATTCATATACTGGAACTTACTTTTGTTTAAAACAATAATATTAAGCCTAGTAATGATAGGAATATTCGCAAGTAGAATTTACTATAATAATTGTAGGGATCTACATAATATTATATCTTCGATCAACATTTTTGTAATGGCAGGATAGCAGTTTATCTAGAGACTACTGCTTAGCCAGGACGGATGAGCGAACCTGAGGGCTTAGTCAGAAGGGCTTGATCAAGAGTACGTTTATCTCGTTATTTTTTTCATTTCACATTTACAAATCTTTCCACTATCTTGTTACACATAATGTTTGAGATACACCGGCCTATTGTTTCCGTCTTATCTACAGTGTCACGGAATACTCGTATATATATTAAACTGGATAATGTCAAAACACAATCAAAACTGCTTTGAGTGTTAAAAATATTTTGGTAAAGTTATTATCACGCATAAAACCCAAGTCCACCTTGGCACTAAACAAAAACTTGTGATTTTTGAGCTGAACTGAACTGGTTCTCTACCAATCGAGATGCACAAACAAAACGACACGGCGCGTCGAGCGTGCCCTTAACAACTTTACTCTTTAGTTACTAACAAATATCACGGGTCTTATGTACTTACTTACACAGGTGTATTTAAAAATAGCTCCGCACGATAAATTATAATATTAATCCTTTTCAAAAACTAGGATAGGATACTTACACGTTCATAATGTTTTTTTACAATGCATCTCATGTGAGGCCATTAAATATGAGCAATGAGGGATGTCGAGCGGTTGTCGTGTACCTACCTATCTTCGCGTTAGTTTATGAGTTCATGACTTACTTGGAGAACAACATTTATGGCTGGTTTCTTTAAAAACAATGAATACGATGTTCGTTTTGAAAGTAAAATTTACGCTTAAAGTAATCAACCGACATAAATAGTTGGTAAAGTTTGTAAATCAATAGCACAAATACACGAAACTATTAGGCAGAAATACTTTAAATCGCTTTCGCCCATCTCTAGAGCGCTGTCTGTAGCTGCGCTCGACTGCGTCTCTCGAACAACTTTTTATAATGATATTCGTTGGTTGCAAACCCGTTCGACGGTTTTAGTCAAGTTTTAGGTTTATGAAGTACCGATCTTACGGGAATCCAAACGAGATTGTTTCATGTTCACCATTAAAATGTTGATTTCATGTTTTCGCATTCCTGTTCATTGTCTTAAAAAAGTTAACAAGGGTTTTTTTTTATTAAAATCCATAGCCTAATATTTTATTGAAACTGCAATGAACGTTGAAAATTTTAATGAACGAAAACACATAGGACGGATACAAATTTGAATTAATTAATTCATAAATAGAAGGATAATGTGTATCGCCGGAAGTGCTGAACATTTATCGGTTAAGATTAATAACAAACGTACCGAAGTGACGGCGACGTAAAATTGAAATTTAGACTTACAGTTTTAATCCAAATATTTGTTTTTTAAATTACTTATTCAGGAGGACATTAGTTTTCGGAATACTTGTTTTATGTGGGCTAAAATCTTAAACTTTGCTTGCTTAAAACACTAGACCTTATATTATTCGTTAGCTCATAGTAGCAATTAAGCAAGATGATAATATGTCAAACACAGGGGTGCTAAAAGAACGTCATATGATTGCTTACCAACGCATACAATGTGTTTTATCAAAACATAGCTCAGATTATCTTGCCGGCTTAAACGTTCGCACTGAAGAAAAAACGAATAGGTAGTAATTTCAAGATTGTTGAAAATAAATTCACAGATAATATTGTTTACTTTATAATAATACGGTCTCCATAAGTACAAATTTCAACTTAACACTCCTGTTTTTCTTTGACAGCAAAATCGAACAATCTTACTTATAGCTTTTATTTTATTGCTTAGCTACTGGTATCATTATTTACTCATGGGAAAAATTGTGTAATGAGATCTGAAATATAAACTCAATTAGGGATCAGCGTTTGATTAAGAAAAATTAACAAACTCGCGCTGAGTTTTTTCGAATGTCATGAATTTCTTATGTGAAATAATCCAAGTCTATAATTTAAAATGTTCAACTAGAATGTTTGGAATTGGATAAAAAAAATTCTCATTAGTGAAATAGAAAAAAAAAGAATATGCGGGAAAAATTACCATTTTGTGTTTCATTTCATTAGGTTTAGTTATCCGCGATCACAAAAACTGTCTTTGGAATATCGAGTTACTTATTGCTAGGACGCGAGTATTCCAAATTTTTGCAAAACTAAAAACCGCTTGAAAAATAAACCGCGGAATTAAACATGTTTAATAAAGCGTATCGTAGTGAAGGTGTATTCAATAAAAGAACTAAAATTATTTAAGCCGGATATTTTTAAGATATTTGTTATTACATCGACGGTTTGCCTATATAGGATACATTATACTTTTGACAGTTAATAAGAAGGTGAGACTTGTGAGTGTAAGTGTATTGGAAATGAGGGATTCAATTCACAATGATCCAGGGTTCCCACAGCTTTAAGCACGGACAACTTGTGGTAGGACCTCTTGTGAGTGCGCGCGGGTGGGGTACCACCACCCTGCCTATTTCTGCCGTGAAGCAGTAATGCGTTTCGGTTTGAAGGGTGGGGCAGCCGTTGTAACTATACTTTAGACCTTAGAACTTATATCTCAAGGTTACACCGCATTCACCTTGTGGATGTCTATGGGATCCAGTAACCACTTAACACCAGGTGAGCTGTGAGCTCATCCATCCATCTAAGCCATAAAAAAACCAGAAAAAAACCATGAAACTAAAATAAAAAACCGAATGAATTTTCAAGGAACCTTTTAGGTACGCTTAGTAGCGATCTTTGCCTTATTTCATAATGGGTTAGTATCAAATAACGGTCACGTACTGCTTACTAATAAACTTATGGCGCTTCGTAATACAACACTTCGTGCGCAAGCATCAGCATTTCGTTTGACAAATTGCAAAAAAACAACATGATATTTCTATTAAAAAAACTGCGTCATTTCTATTTATTGTAATTGCGATAAAATTAAAATTAAGGTATCTTACTTTTTGTGCAAAATTAAACTTAAAAAAATTGTTCATTATCAATCTATTTCCTTACATAGTCAAAGTTAATAAAGGAGCTCAAAATCATGTAGAGATACCGTTACATACTAAAATAGATACTAACATACGTATGAAGCTAATAAAAACGTATTAAAAATTAACAGAACTACAGGTATGTACAGTTTTGGCATCGTGTCCTCATCGCTGGCGCCGTGTCCTCGTCGCAAAAATAGGAAACGACTTGTCGTTACCGAGTGTTGTGGCATCGATGCTCGGCGACGACGAGTCGTGGAAGGCGATGCTCGACTTCTACGAGTGCACCATCTCGCAGAAAGCGGTGGCGCGTGAGAGACGCACAATTCCGCCGCCGTCGAGCGGGGGCCAGGGAGGCGGATCTCGCCCAAGCCCTGGCCCTCTAAGTGTTTCGGGTCCCGGAGTCGGGAGCTCGGGTCGGTCTGGGAGCCTGCGAGGGGGGCCTAAGAAGACGACGTGTAAGCTGCTCTGTACACGTTTTACGCAAGAGCATCCGGGTGATGGAAGGCTATCCTCGACCCACGCTGGTTCGGGCCCAGCGGGGTATTCCGTTGGATAACTCACTCTAACCGGCGCCATCTAGGCGGACTTCGGGTAGCCTGCCGACCGAGAGGGCTGGTGGTCGTGGCGCCGACGACCGCCGGTCCGGCGTCCCGAGGGGGAGAGTGATGGGAGAGATGTGCTCCGCACTAAATGCTTCACTTTCCCCCCTTTGCCTTTTCATGCGTTCTGTCTCATGCGAGGTTTGGACGTTGGTTGTTGAGCGACAGGAG